TTTAACTATAAATAGGACAATTACCAGAAAACCTACAGGATCGATAGGTTAAAGAGGACCCTGCTCAAACGAGCTTACAGTCTATAGGAGGTGGGGTATAAGACACATTAGGACAGGAAATATCAAATAGGGTGGGAGTGAAGCAGAGCTGGATGAGGGGGTAGAGTGCTGCCCTATAGGAGAGAGCAGGAGACAGGTATGTAAGGTAGAGGTTACTCTGTGAGGCCATAAGCTTCCCTGAAGAGATGGGTTTTAAGGCACTTCTTAAATGATTGAAGACTAGGGGAGAGTCTGATGGCAGTAGGCAGTCTATTCCATAGGAAAGGAGGTCCTGCAAGCGCAAGTTGGCTGTACGGGTGCGAGCAGCGGTCAGGAGGTGGTCACGGGCAGAGCGGAATATATTCTGATAGTAACTTATGTACCCCCAGCACAGCTAGCTGTTCATTTACTTTTAAATAGTACAATAAATGCAATTAATTGAGCAACAGTAAGCATTGGTTCATTGGTTCCGAACAGCAAGCAACAAAATATTCACAATAAAAATGTTCCTGACTGAAAAATATATTTTTGACCTTAGATTTACCACTTCCACGGTCAGTCAGGAGATATTACAATCTCAGTGTGATTATTACTTTGGGGGAGTCCCAGAGCCCAGATTGCTTTCCTTGGAGCCAGTCACCCTCTACTGCTGGTCGGTGAGTGAGCCCCTGGTCACATGTGGTGGGGGGGGTCCATCTGTCTCCCAGCTCTCCTGCAGCAGAACAGACTCCGGATTCTTGATACATTGTATCTTTGCAGATGTTCCACGGCCTGTGTCTGATCCAGCCAGCAGGATTTATAAAGATAATAAAATCTGTCAACCTACCCCCTTCCTAGTTGCTTGAGAGGAAAATACCTCCAAAGCCCTCCATGTGTCAGCCCTCTCTCCTGCACACACTCACACACTTCCAGGCACACACACACACACACTCTGACGTCTTTTGTGCATTTCCTGCATTACAAGGAGAGGGGAGGAGAGGTGGGGTGTTGCTAATCAGCAGCAGCAACACAAGCTATCCATCGGGAATACACACAGATCTTTGGCTAGTTTTTTTTTGAAATTGTATCATTATTGCTTCTTGCAGCCCAAAGCTCTGCAGCAGCCGGCCCAGCCCAGGCTCATGTATATTGCATGGTATCAGCAGGCAGAGTGCTCCTCTTCCCTGGGGAGGTGAGCAAGATCCATTGCTCCTGCGGATGTGAGCGCCCTGCCTGGCTGTGTGTTTTGTGCTCAGCTCACAGGGAGGGCTGGAGCCTGGGAAAGCAGCAGCACAGCCTCCCATTTGCATGGATTCTCCAAGACGGTAGGTAGAAGAAGTAGCACTGCCGGCCCCTGGATTACATGTGGATTTTAGGAGGACGTCCCCTTGTTTTCCGTTAGCCATCCAGCCACTAATCCATGCATTGAGTGGGTGTCGCAGGATTGAAGGCTGATCCAAGGTAGCAGAGGAAACATTGTATCCCGCAGCAGCCGGAGAGGACACACTGTATCTCCCCTTGATCTGCCAGGGAGAGAGGGGGCTCCTCACTCACCATGGTTGTTTTCAATGGCTTGCTGAAGATCAGGATCTGTGAGGCTGTGAACCTGAAGCCCACAGCCTGGTCCCTCAGACATGCCGTGGGTCCCAAACCCCAGACCTTCCTGCTGGACCCTTACATAGCTGTGAATGTGGATGACTCCAGAATAGGGCAGACCTCCACCAAGCCCAAGACCAACAGCCCTGCCTGGCATGATGACTTCTCCACTGATGTCTGCAATGGGAGGAAGATAGAGCTGGCTGTTTTTCATGATGCCCCTATAGGGTACGACGATTTTGTGGCCAACTGCACCATCCAATTCGAAGATCTACTGCATAATGGGAGCCGGCATTTCGAGGACTGGGTAAGAGAGTTTCTAGTATTTAGTTTTTTTCACACATGGTCATTTATCTGCCTATTGTTTTACTGCTGAAATATAAAGGAAATCCTTTGGCATGGAGTGACAGAGCCAGATATCCCTGTGCTCTTCCTTCTGCACACACTGTGTGGGGGGTGGGGGCACGGGGGGTAGCACTGGCCATACCACTGATTTGGGGATTGGGTAGCAGATATAATGTTTCTGGCTCATATGTCAAGCCATCATACCCTCAGATCTGAAAACCAACCTAAACCCCTTTAATTATGACTGTACTTCAAGGGACTGGGGGTCCTAGGCTGATGCAGAACCTCCTGGGAGCTAACTACCCACCAGGGTTGTGTCATATTTCTAGCAAAAATATAATGCAGAAACCTGATTGACAAAGGGCTGTGTAGCTGCAGTAGAAGCAGGTTTTTTTTTTCACTGATCTATATCACTGATCAATATTGGGACCATAACTGTCATATTCTTAAATCACTGCAACCCAGTCTGTAATCAGACCTTCTAATGTGACAGTAGGTATCCACAGCCTCCTTTTCTTGTGCCTGATTTAGGAATGGTGCTAAAACTAACCAAGCAATTAAAGATGTCATCAATTAGTCTGCCATTACACAAATAGGAAATAGATCTGTCAAGCAATATAATTCTGCATGCTCCTCAGCCTTCTACATGCACATTTAAAACAACAACAAAAATGCCCCTCACTGTATTAGACAGGGTATTTTTGATTGTCCTATTTAAATGATTCCTTGTCCAGGTTCCAAATATAAATATATACAATGTTACTCTCTATCTGTGTGTTATGATTGGCCATTTTGTATTCTGTGGATCTGACATTTTTAACACCCTCCCTGTCTGGATAGTGGGGAGAGATAGAGCCTCAATATCAAGGTTTGTACTTGTAGCAAATCAGTTCATCTGTAGTTAAAGGATATTCATATTCTTATATAGAGCATATCTGGAATATGTGTGAACTGAATTTGTTTTGAAAATACAATGGCTATAATAGGGTGATCACCCTCAGCTCACCTGTATATTGCATTTCCTCTTTCTGATAATAGATAGATTTGTGTCATTCTAAAGCTTACTATTTGGGAGTAGTATAGTGAAACGCATTAATAGTCCATTTAGTTTTACCCAGGCTGTACACTTTTTAACCTTTGCAGTGCCAGAGGTTTCATAAATCAATGCATTTTCTTTCAAACAGGAGATTAATATTCAGATGTTGCACAGAGCAGTGGAAGCGAACATTATATCAATTACTTTGATGGAAACCCAAGCTACTTTAATGCAATTATAAGGGTTTCCAGTGATGTTTTTAATGCATAATAATATATGCCCTTAAGGAATCTCAAGCACTAAACCTTTTTATGTCAGGGTAGGGATTTTCAAAGAAAGAGACTTGAAACATTTGCTCCCACACAGGTGTATCATTCTGGGAGACCCTACCAAGGTTTGAACCTGGCTTCTCTTAAATAAACAGTCAAGCAGTTGCTTGGAAAAAAAGCATTTAAAAAAAAAAAAAATGTATTTTGCCCCATATGGTTTATAACAATTTATTATCACAATTTTATGCATGAAGTCCTATGCTGTAAAGGTGAACAGTTATGCACATTGTAAATTTCAATTTTTGCAATTCCTAGAATAGTCTAATACAGTCTTTTTATGGAGGTCCTGAATGCTGGTTTAAGTGTAATTTGTAAGCACCCATTGTATTTGTGGATATATACAACTAGCTCAAATTGTTTATGTATCAAAACTGAAATTGTACCCAGAGAATTGGATTCACATTCACAGTGCAGAGACAACTTGTGGAGTGAATCCAACATTACAATAATACATCTGGCCACTGGTAGCTTTGTAGTATGTCGTAATACAACATTGTAGCTGTTCCTATGAGTTGGGGGGAAGAAAAACATACTACATGGAATTGACAGTATCTGTTTATAATGCAATTACTAAAATAGAGTTAATCATTTGTGCCTTGTTTGTTTTGTAATTTAAAAATATCTGACATTAAAAAAAAAAAATTAATTAAATTCGTATAGTCTTCATTGTTACTCTGATGCTTTTTATTTTTTTATTTTTAACTATTTCAAAAAGGTATTTCTAGCAAATCAGGTCCACAAAGGGTTAACCATATTGAGAGGAAATAACAGTTTTATGGAGGAAACAGAAATGTGTTTAACTATTTCCCATTTGTCAAATGGTGTCTTAAACACATTTTCACAGCATTGCAGGTATTTGCTAATTATATTGTTATATATTTGCAAGGCACCAACATATTGGAGTATTCTCACATATGGAGATACAATATTTGGGATTATATTTCCATAGGGATCTACTGGTCTTTGTGCAGATGTCTATGAGTTGTCATATAATTAGCTACAAAAAAATCAAATAGATTATGTTGTGTGGTGTAAAAAAATAAAAAAATAGTCACCTAATGAAAAATATGATGTTGCCTAGTTATTAATAAATGGTAGGATACCACTGTGAATAGGCAATGCAAGTTTGGGCAAACGCTTTAAAGAATAATACTATGGAACTGGAAAAAGGGTACAAGTGGCTACAAAAAGATAGAAACATTGCTTTTTTTTGTTTTTGTTTTTACACTCTAGACAGAACAGCTGTCCAATGAGCTGTTCATTAACAGAACTATACAAAGCACAAGCTTGTCTACAGACTTTTGAAGAATGGAGACTTCACCCACAGAGATTTTGTTTTTCTATCAGTAAAAACAAGATTAAGAGGATTAGTTAAGATGCACAATAGGTTACATTTGATGGACTTTTTATTATTTTTCCAACCAATTTTACAAATCTAACACAAGTATTATTCAGTTTTTATTAAATTATGTCATTATTTAAAACTTCCAAGTGATGGGTTCATTTAAAAAGGAAACCCTAGGCCAGGCATAGGCAACCTTTGGCACTCCAGATGTTTTGGACTACACCTCCCATGATGCTTCGTCAGCATTATGGGTGTAAGAACATTACGGGGGATGTAGTCCACAACAACTGGAGTGCCGAAGGTTGCCTATCCATGCCCTAGGCCTTTAGTTAGATTTAATAGCTATTCAACTTAAAAATTACTTTGCTTACTGCTTTACTGCTGTGAAGATACCAGCAATAATAATGATTTACTTATAATTGGCCATTACATATATGACGTAAAGGCAGTAACAAAACCAAGGGGTTAATTCACTAAATACAGAACTGTACTGAACAGCAAATTATAGGCAAGGCTAGTGGATTTGGAAACATTATTTTTTCTGTATAATTATAGCTTGGCCATTTTACCGTGCATTTTGTGATTTTTTTTTTTTATTTTTATTTTTTCTATTAACTACAATTTTGCATGGTAGTGAAATATTGGG